CCGACCTACCGACCTACCGACCTACATACATACATACATACATACATACATACATACCGACATACCGACATACCGACATACATACATACACATATGTAGGTATACATACAAACTTGCACAAAGCTAGCCTCCTGATAAACTTCGCAGGCTGCTGAACTCTACCGAGTGATACGTTGCTGCAAATGTTTTGTCTCGTGTTTGTTTGTGGAGGACGGCCTGACCGGCTCTGCCTGGGGTGACTGGGCGACGACAGCTCGCGGGCGTGTTTTTGGGCGTTTGCGGTTGCTCTAGAAGTGTAGGGCTTTTGGCCTGGTGTTGCAATCATGATCGGAGAAAGTTAGCAACACGAGAGCGGCAACAGAAACGAGCACAATCAAAGCAGCAGACAAAGAAGACAGCGGGCTTCCACAGCAAGGGCGATGTCTTTCTGCTGCCGAAATCATCAAGACGATCATAATAGCTTGTGCTGAGGCTACTTAACCCAAGGAATGTTAGCGATCCCCCAAATACCCTGCATTATTAATTTGAATATTTTTTCCCAGTCTGGATGGGGAGGTGCAAGATTCATGTAATTTGGCCAAATCCACAAAGCTGCTTTTGCTCTGCGGGGTCAGACGGTGTTGTTTGCATTCTAAACAGCGCGAGATTTCCTCCGTCCACATTGAGGTGAGAACAGTTTTGTGTCTGTGTTTTGGTTAGCTCTCAGCCCTTTAGCCGCAGACCAGGTGATTGGGCCAACTACACTGCTTCGCCTCTGCGAGCCTTCGAGGCGCGTTTCGCTCGCGCATGGCCGGGGACTTATTGCTTTAGGTATTTGTGGGTTCTACGACGATATGGTTTTTGGGCTCAAAGGCGGCTATGGCTATGGCTTGGTGTCGCAGACACTGGGGGGCAAGCAAGGTTTGGCAGTCGTTGACGCGTGCGACCCTTTAAAGCAAAGAAGATCCAAAGTGCTCGATACCAAGAAACATAAGCATCAAGCGGTTATTTTCATGTAGGTCCGGTCGCCTTAAGCTCAACATACTTGTCAGGAGGAGCTGGGCGTTCAGCCTCCAGTTGGCTTCTGGGAACCTCGGCAATGACAAGTTTTGGGTGAAGCTTTCACTGCCACCACTTGCACCGGCACCAACCGTGACAATCAGCATCGCCTGTCAAGGTCAGAATCATCGCCAGCACCACAACACCATCGCCACTAGAATCTCCATTGCCAAATATCCACCCACAAGCAGCAAGCACCACAGTTGACAGCTCTCCGCCTCTTCGCCAACATAGCGACCATGGCCGTCTCCAGAACTGCTTTCACAGTGATCGTTACAACGCAATCATCGCCATTACCTCCTGCTACTGCAGGCCTTCCCCATCACCTTCAATTCACCATCATCGTCATGGGCATCATCCGAATCATGATCATCGCCGTCATCATCATCATCATCATCATCATCATCATCATCATTTGCATCATCATCAGCATCATCATCAGCATCATCATCAGCATCATCATCAGCATCATCCATCACCATCACCATCAGCAGCATCACGACCATCACCACCACCATCCTCGCCATGACCACCATCACGTCTCCATCACCTTCGTCCCTGGCATGTTCGGGCTCTGGGGGCTTCTAGGGTTGCGGGTTCTGGGTGTCATCTTCGGGGCAAGCTATCTAGGTTCTGAAGGGTGTGGGCGCAGACCATGTAGCACATGAATGTTCGTGAGACTGTACCCGGTCCCCCGAGCCGATGAAGTCCGAAGGACCCTGTGGGCTACACTCGCGACGGAGTTCTGGCTGCAAAGTATGCGGTTGCCGCAGCTACAGGGTGAAGATGTGAAGAATCAAAAGTTTCGCGGACTAAGCCTTGGAACCTTTCGTGCGGAGTTTTTGCGGGTCGAGGGTTTAGGAGCTCGTTGACTCTTTGGGGCTTATCTCCCGGACCACCAGAACAAGACTTGAACGCAAACCTTGGACTAAGAGCATTCTGCCTTGAACCTTAGCAGCAAGCAACCGCTTGACGGCAAATATCCCGGGACGTAACCAGCTTTGGGAATGCTGCAGGCAGCAAACTTCTCAAGGCTGCCGTTGCAATGTCAAAAACTGTTGCTCGCGGTAGAAGACATCAGAAAGTTCAAGGAAGGTTCGTTCAGGCTTTCAGGTGACCCTGAACTTTTCTGAACCGCAGAGTTCAACCCCTGTTCTTTGGCTTCAGTCCAGGAAGTGTGGAGACCTTCAAGCGCCGCCGAGAGACGGAGATCAAGCATCCTCTTTGCATGTTTCGAAGACTGCGGGATATGCGTTGCGGGTTCGGGCCTTTGTGGTTGAGAGTTTAATAACTGTGCGGCGTTTGTTTAGCGCAGCGGGGTTTCAAGTTTCAGGGGTTTGAAGTTTCCCTTGGCGCTGATGGAACATTGAAAGTAAGAACAGAAAACGTATCGACTGTGAAGGATAGGGGAACTACCGAAAACAACAGTGGCACTAGTACTGGTATTGGTAGTGGTAGTGGTTGTGGATGTGCTAGCAGTAGAGGCAGTGGTACTGAGAGTGGTACTGCACCGTTGTCGTCGCGATAGTGGCAAGTAGCCATGTTACAGATTGAAGAACTCGGGCTTCGGTCTGGATTCGAGTGTAAGAGGCAGCGGGTGGAAGTGCCGGTGCCGGTTGGAGTCGGCCACGAAAGGCTGTGAAACTCGCCGGTTTGATGGGAGACCCCGCTTCAGCAGCGAACAGCGGACCAACAAGAGTCGTTTAAATTGGACGAGGGCACATCCTCGACACATCTGGGGGAGATAGCCGAATATGCTTCGAGGCAGGGGACTCAAGGTTTTTGGGGTAGATGGACCAGGGCACGGAGCTCAGCATTCATTCTTCAAGCGAGGCATGGTCGCGTGGCGATGTATGCAACCATGGGCTGCGCGGCAAAGCAGGGAGTTGTTCTAAAGGGCCCCATGAAGAGACTGAGGGACATTGGCACAACAAAAATGCACTTCGCACTAGCGAGAAGAGCGCTTTGAGTAGTCATGGTCATGGTATACTCGTAGTCGACATCGTAGTGATCGTCATCAAACTCATCACCATCATCATCATCATCACCATCATCATCATCAACATCATCATCATCATCATCAACATCATCATCAACATCATCATCAGCATCATCATCATCGTCAGCGCCAACATCACCAGCAACAGCATCATAGTCATCAACATTTTCATCATTGTCGTCACCACCATCACCATCATCATCATCACCATCATCATCATCATCATCGTCAGCTCCAACACTATCACCAGCAACAGCATCATAGTCATCAACATTTTCATCATTATCGTCATCACCATCGCCATCATCACCATCATCATCATCATCATCCTCATCATCATCATCCTCCTCATCATCATCATCCTCATCATTCTCATCATCATCATCATCATCATCATTATCTTCATCACCTTCACCATCATCATCATCATCCCCAGCATCATCATCATCATCATCATGTTTCCTTCTCTTCTTCATGGCACTCCTCACTCGTGGTGTTTGTCATACTCATGATCATGATCCTGACGATCACCAGCATCGCGACCCTCGGTGGCATCTTCATACTCATCAGCCTGGCCATCACACGAACAAAAGCAGCAATGCAGCGCCTGCAAGAACAACAGTCTTCGGAACAAAAGCAGCAATGCAGCGCCTGCAAGAACAATAGTCTTCGGACTCACACAGCACGGCATGCTTTGAGGCTACATCGTGCCTGAGTACTTCAAGTGGCCAGGACTGGGTGTTCGGAAGAGTAACGTTCAGGATGGTCACAGCTGCAAGGACATCTCTTTCAAACTGGCGTGTCGAAGCAGTCGTGCCGTGTCTTGCTGGTAACGACAGGGTTTATTGCTGTCAGCTCCAGATGCCACCAAGACGGTAAATAGGACCTCCCTGCAGGATTCCTGTCGCCCTCCCTCGGTCTCAAGTTCTCGGATGTCCCCAACGGCCTTGCCGCAATCTCCAAGGCTCCATGTCTTTTGAGAGGAGCCTGGTGTCTCTTGCCGACTTGACATGGGTCATTACATGATCTCAGATTTTACTGAGGAGTTTTCGGCATCCTGGGCAGGTTCATTAGGATCACCCTGGGCCATCATTATCAGTAAACCTGAAAATACTTGTGTGAGAGCTGCACATTCGAAGGACGCTCCTGGGAAGTGGACGTTTTGTGGTCCTGAGGTTTGTATTCGATCGCACTGCGCCTGCTGCTACTACTACTGCTGCTGCTGCTGCTACTACTACTTCTACTTCTACTACTACTGAAAAATTATACTATTGGTACTAAATAAATAATTTTTGTAATAGTAAGTAACGTTAGTATTAATCTTAATAAGCCTAATGATCGACTGTTTAATATGAATGCTAAGATACATATTCTGGTAGTAGTAATACGACGGCGCCAACGACCATCACCACCGCCACCGCCGCCACCACCGCCAACACCACAAACACCACCAAGACCAACAGCCACAGCTATAACTGCAACTAAAGCTCCTGCAAATATGGTTCTATGCTACGATCACTCCCTCTTTGAACAACTGCTTCGATTCATTCTGTTACTACTTTAGTGCGAGCTACTGCTATTTTCGTGATACTCGGTACTTTCTGTGCAGAAGCCTCAACGAAGCGATCTGCAGGTTCCTGGCGCCGGCTGGGCGCAGATCGTGGCCTTCGCCGGCTACTACGAGCTCTTCGTGTACAAGTACAACGGAACCCCAGGTCGGACCCTCTAAAACCTGTCAGGCTTTGGGTCTAGGGCGGGCTAGAGTGCTTCTCGGGTTTAGGCGGTATCTTCTAGAGTTGGAGCTGTTTTTGTAACGACCTCATGTTGCTGACGCCAAACAGACACTCTCATGCCTTGTGACAAGGAGCCGCTGTAACAGCGAACAACTCCGGTGAAGTCTTATAATTCGCCACAAATACTGTAAAATATCCAATCAGCAGATGCAATGATACTAGGAACAGCAAAAACACTCATCTGTTTTACAGGTGTTTTATGTGCTCTGCCAGGTGACTACGGCTGGAAGCCAATCACGTCGGCTGATCCTGAGGGGCTGAAGAGCAGCCTGGAGTGCAAGGAGGGAAGATTTGGAGGGCTTGCAGTGGGCGTAGATATCTGTGGGCTCTGGGTCGGTAGAAGTCAGAACCAAAACGACTACTTTGTCATCACATCATGACTTGTCACACTACTACGTCTATTGTGCACCGGGTGATGTTTGTTCGAGGGGTCTAGCGATTCGGTTCGGCGAGCTTCGTCGTACCAGCATTGTCAAGGTGATTCACTTCATTACCTCCCTGCACTCTAGACTTTAAAACCTGAGTCCAATTTCCCGACCCGATGTGACACACATAGGCACACATGCATCTATCTATCTATATATCTATATGCATCGGTAAGTTCAGATTTTGCATGGTTTATATCTCAAGTATGCCACGGCGACCAATTACTGAAGCAGCTTCCCATCTCAGAAAAGCTCAGCGCGGAGTTGGCCAACGGTCGCCTTGCCATGTGCCTGGGCTCCTGTTAAATCCCGAAGCCAGAAACTGCAGATAAATCCCTGCCGGACTTCAAATGAGCGGTGTGGGATCGATAGCTGGGTTCTCATCGGCATGTGAGGAACGATTCTGAGCGTGTGTGTGTGTGTGTGGGTTGTCATCGGGCGGTTCGGTCGATACCAATACTTGTGCAATATTCTGTGGTCTGTGATTGGCATATTGCGGGAGTTGCGGTTCGTTCGGTTTCCCACCGCTCACCCCTCCACCACCACCCCTGCGCCCTCCCTCACCGCCAATTGTGGGTTGGAGATCTTTACTGTAAGTAGATAAAACAATGGCTTGAATGCTGGAACTTAATGCCGCGCAACGATTGAAATCTACTCAAAACGGGTTGGCCCGGCCTGTGAGGCCTTGTAGGCCCCCCCCCTCCCCCCCCGCCCACGGCGCGAGCGCAGGTCCAAGTTTACGTTCTGGGCGGCAGTAAGTTAGCATCCCTGTGTCCTCCAGCCTCCCACCCTCCAGCCCCATCTTTTACGAGGTGGGGGGATGGGTGGTGCTGGGAGGTGGGAGTGGGAGGTGGAGGTGGCAGGTGGGAGGAGGGAGGAGGGGAAGTGAAGGGCAGTGGGTGGTGGTGGGATGGGTTTGGCGATATGGGGCGCGTAGGATACCAACGGTTCGGTATGTGGTGCATTCCGGTTTGCGATAGACCGACAAAGAGAGACAAAACACATATACATAGATGGCTAGATAGGTGGATAGATAGGTTGAGAGAGAGAGAGAGAGAGAGAGAACAGGAGGGGGCTACCCTCCTGCCCTAGCCCTGGCGAAGGAAAGAGAGATAGACAGAGAGACAGCGCGAGAGGGGAAACGTCGTTCGTGCTTGAGCCTCTGGAAGGCTGATCAGTAGGTGCAGGGACATGATTGCCCTCGGGTGCACAATGAGGGCCGAAGAAGAAGAAGCAGAAGCGAGCTTCCTCCTACAGCAGTTGAGCCCGCGAACACGAGACCCCCCAGGATGGCCATCATTGGCATGTTCTTCCAGGACGGTCTGACAGGCGAGGGCGACCAAAGGGTAGCTGGTTCTTTTGGCAAGCGTAGAAACACCAAGCTCCCCAAGCCCTGACGTTGAAATTGGAGGAATCCGCAACCGAAGGTTGGGCCTTCAAGGCACGCTCCAGAATCACGAAACTTGTGCCAGCCCCGAAACCATTCCCAGGAACCCCAGAACCTTGCACGGTCAACACTCCCCAACTCTACAGAATCCTTAGTAGCGTGCTTAGGGCTCTCGGGCCAAGGCCCGACGTAAGCCCGAAACCTTCAAAACACCAAAACGTGTCCGAAGAAAAGGTGCAGGTCGTCGTTCCGATGTTTTCTTGTAATTCCACCCCCCAAACTCGAAATCCCAAAGGCAGCGTCCATCCATCATAGTGGTTGAAACCATAGAGACCCTAAAAAGTGGATTCTGTTGCTCCTCGGAAGGCTCTGCCTGGGGTGATTGGGCCAACTACACCGACTCCCCGCTGCGCGCATTCGAGGATCAGACTGGCGTTCCGTGGCGGAAGTGGAAAGGTTTGCGGGTTTAGGGGTTCAGAGGCTGTGGAAGAAATCCAACACGTTCACCCTAAGCCCTGCATCCTGACCGGGGACAAGAGCTGTAAGAACTCCTACACACGCAGTCTGAATTCTAAAGCCCCAACATCCGCATCTTGAGTCTCAAATCCGAAATTGGCCCGAATCCCAAACCATTCAGGGTGAACCAGGGTGACGAATTCGAATTTGTTGATTTTCAAAACGGCGTTGGCGATAAAGCCGTTGAGATGAAGATGGTGACGACGGTGATTGCGATGATAATGGCCATGATGCTGGTAACGATGCTGCTGCCACTACTGCTGTTGCCGCTGTTGCGACTGCTTCTGCTGCTGCTGCTGCTGCTGCTGCTGCTGCTGCTGCTGCTGCTATCGATGACGATGAAGATGATGACGACAGGACTAAAGAAAACATGAGCAAGCAACGGACGCGTGTCAGGTGCAGCCCCCTGTCGGCTTCTGGGATCCCCTCGGCCTGTCGGCTAGCGGCAACGTCTCGGCCACCCGGCCGCCGGAAGTTGCGCGTGTTTTCATATTTGGGGGGCTACTCGGATTTAGGATGGCTGCTTGTAAGCATGAAGAGCTGAGGGTTTTGCGCTTTAGGTCTTAGGTGGCCTGGTGGGTTTAGAGGATTCATTTCTTTCAGAGCTTCGCCAGGATGAGCCTTCCGCTTCCATGGGTGGAGCTTGCACACCCGCACATTTCTATTGAAAAGCCCAACCCCAAACCCTAAACCCCACGTGGAAGTTTCTGACAAAAAGGGGTCCACTTTGCTGGTGGTCCCGAAGCAGGAGAAAGGGACCGACCGTTCTGGAAGCTACTCTCCCGGGGCCCAAGGATTTCAAGCGCCGACGTGAGGTCGAGCTGAAGCACGGACGCGCTGCTTGGCGGACTAAGCGACATGTAGCCTGAGTCATAAATTGTCGCACAGGGTGTCGGATGGAAGGTTTAGTAGTTAGTTTCGCAGCCTCAGCATCGGATCCCCTAAACGAAGCCCTGAGGTCGCCATGTTCGCCACCATCGGCTACATCCTGCCAGAGTACTGGAGGCCTGATATCAGTAACAAGTCTAGGACCAGATATCATCATTACTAGGTATGCTAGTTTTCGTAGTAGCATTCTTATTCTTCACCTTCTTGCTGACAATCTCTTTTTTTGCGACTTCCAGGGTTCAGTTTTGCAGAGCTTTAGGGCTTCACGTCATGCATTGGTGGCATTGTGGGTAGAGCTGATTTGAACTTGGAGACTGGGAGCTCGGGGGTAATAGATGGTACAGTAGACGCATTGTCCGAAGTTAGGGTGCCTTTATCTCCATTCACTCATCTCTTGCAGGGTTTGTTGGCCTTTATCGGGTGTTGGTCGGTGTGGGATGAGGACGGAGGCAGCAAGCCGCCAAACGGGCTTGGGGGCTGTTAGTTGTTTGGCTTTGGGGTTCAAGTCCAGCGGTGCACGCATTTGGGTCTACGTAGGGCGTAGGGGTTGGATTGCAGGCACATGTGCTTGTGGGGCTTCAGGTTGCTTGTTTCCTGACTGCGAGGCCCTAAGTCCAAGCACTAGTTATGCTAATTCTTGGCGTTCTTCTGGTTGGCTCTTTAGACTTTAACTTTTTGGGTTTCTATATGAACTATATTATCTAGGCTAAAAGTTTAACTTTTAGGAGGGGTTCAGAAGTACGCCAAGAATTGCCTCACATGGACTCTAAATAGCAGCTAATTCTGCATCTTCCACACTCCGAAAACTTCCTTGGAAGCACGGAGCTCGACTTCTTTCGACTCCCTAAACGACCCTGAACCCCAAGTCTCGATTCGTTCATGAAGCGCGCATGATAACTGGTTCAGGGTCGTTTACCTTTGAGATTTGGCTTCAGGGGTTTGCACTGGGTCAAAATCTGAAAGGTTCCCGGGATACCTCTCCAAGTACCTGGACATCAAGTTCGCGGACGTGCCCAATGGCCTGAGCGCTTTCTCCAAGGCTCGTCTCGGGGCTTGGGGAAGTCAAGACAAGAGTTCAGCAGAGGGGATTGAACCCTTGCTAATACAAGCCCAAAAGTTCCATGGTTCAGATGTAGGGGACCTTCAGCCCTAAACCCTTAATGGCCGGCTCAATCAGGTGCCCGCCTTCGGCTGGCTGCAGATCGTGGGATTCGCCGGCATCGTGGAGGTGAACGCAGCGAACTCAGATCTCTATGAAAGCTCTGCGCCCAGAGTCCTGAGCAGGATATTTGGGGATGCATAACTGGGCTGCAAAGCCTGTTTCAGCATTCAGCATAGCATTGAGTGCGCTTGATTGCACGGACGCAACTTGGTGTCAGCATAGAGTGAGTTGTACCTTCGAAGCACCGAGCTACCCAAATGGAAACTACAACTCAAAGACTGAAGTCTTCACCTTCTCGGCGTCGGGTTCAGGATTGAGGTGGCTCCATTTCTTTGCCTTGCTTTCCGTCAACGAGCTCAGCACTAGCTAGCTTTTTTCCCCCACTNNGGGGCGATGACGCTTGCGGAGCCCCCCTGAGATGTTGAGAGGGACGTGGGAGGTAGGCCGCACCGTAAGTGCTGGTCGACACTCACTCACTCACTCACTCACTCACTCACTCACTCACTCACTCACTCACTCAACGAGCTCAGCACGGTAAAACCGTGGACCCGCTTTATGTCGCTGCGCCTATCGGAATCAAGTTGTGCGACCGTCCCTGTCGAGATGAGACTGCGAAATGGACGTTGGTTTAAGAGGTTACGGCCAGTATCTTCGCCCAGCAGCCAAGCGGCTTTGGACTTATTGTCATGTCAATCAGCGCTTTCAACTTTAAAACCGTCATGAACCATAAGCCCCGCAAGCTGGCCCTGAGTCTCCAAAGCACTTAGCCCGCTAAGCGACTACGGCGCCTCCAAGTTTTTGACCTCAAACCCTCATCCTGCAAAGCACAAAAAGCGCTGCATTCCACGGGACGCCGAGATCTACAACGAGCAAGTCAAGGATGAGCCCGGCAACTACGGCGCCGGTTTCCTCGGATTGAGGCGGGGCCCAGAAGAAAGCACAAAGCGAAAGTACGAGACAACAAAGAGTGCTGAGCTTGGGAAGGGTTTGGATCCTTGCGGGTCTTGGAGGATGTTCAGTTTTTATTTCGCTCCACGGTTCTGGGTATCTTTGCATCTAGCCAACTTTTGATGAATCACTGAGTCTGAGTCTATCTATCTGCATGTCTGCACGTACGCATTTGTATCAAGATAAATGGATAGAGAGGTGGACATCTGAAGACAGATAAGCAGGTTCCCTTTGCTTATAAGGGGCATGCAGAGCACGAACCGGCCGAAACCGCCTCCAAACCCGTAAGTCAACTTTGAACGCAAGGCCCAATACTCCGATCCATCCCATGACATCTAACACTTTGGACCTGAAACACTGACCCCCGAAGGCTGTGATCGCGAGGGTTGTTGGGAGCTGTCGCTAGCCGTCCTTCCAGGTCCATCGGCATCATGAACACCGGCATCGAGGACCTGACCGACAACGATGAAATCTTAAACCTGACATCCGAACCTTCTCGCACACCAGAAGCGCACATGCCCGCGTTCAATAGTTTAAAGTGCCTGGATTTGGATGTGGGGGGTCCCCAGGTCTTGGCTTTCGGATCCTACAGCCCAAACTGTAATCCTGTTTTCAGAGTAAGAACATGGTTTCACAGATGCAGGCACGCAAGAGGCGTCAGTAGCTCTTTGAAGGATGAGAGATCGTCGGAGTAGTCTCGATGGGATCGGACAAGCGGAGGCGCAGTTCCTGCCCATCTGCTAAAGTCCCGGCCGGGATCATGGTCAAACCCGAGTTGCGCTGGAACCGGCCACTCCGCCCTGAAGGTGCGCCGTGTGCCCCCAAAGGTTGCCCCGCAGCCTCGGATTCCACTTGCATCAAACGTTCCGCCAGTTGCACCCGCACCGGCCTTCTGTGGTCGCTGATGAACCCATCGATCACAGCCGGGATTCAACATGAAGAGCGTAGGTTTTGTAGTATACTATACGATAGTTATACCAAGGAGCCGGTCGGAATATTATTGTGAAAATGTAGGCGTTTATCTCAGCTGTGTTCTTGTCCTCTGTCTCGTATATTCAGCTGCTCCCCAAGCAGCCTAAACCAACACCTTATGCACCGAAGTTTGATCAACCTGGCTCCCGTAGTCAGGGTTTGGTCCGTATAAAGCAAACATGCTAAAACATGTTTATGCCATGCAAAACATGTGTTCGTCCAACAAAGTTCTCAACATTCTCAAAACATAGTTCAAGCACTCAAGCAGTTTTCAACTCGTTCCAAGCAAAACAAGATCACTTTAGTGACATGAAGCCTGAGGGCACACACCAAGGGCTCGCTTTCACAGTCTCTAGACTTCTCACTTGGCCCAACATCTCCTCAGCATGCTCAATCCCTTTCTGGACGTGTCTGAACGTTTACGATTGCTGGATCATGCCTGTCCTTCTTCTGATGGTGTTAAGCTGTAGCCATGATTTCTCCAAGACCCTCAGCCAAAAATGACCCCCCCACTTCAAGCTTTGCGCCTTCGTCTCCAACCCTGCAGGACCCAGAGACGCGAAAGAAGAAGCTCAACGCGGAGTCCCGTGGCAGCAAACCTGGGGCCGAAAAACTCAAGACAAAACTGAACATACTGTTGATGTGTCTTCTGTCGTTTAGCCATTTCGTAGTCTTGTTACTTGTTCTTTTTGCCTACTGTATACTAGTAGTACCTACGTATGATTTCGCTAGGATTGGCGGCTGTGACCTGGGGCTTGTTGCTTCTCTTGCGTGGCTCGTTCAGCCTTGAAAGATCGGGGTTTTCAGCTTTGGGGCCTCAGCATTGGTTCCCAGAAGACTTGCAGCCGCGGTCCCAAGCCCACATCCCTGTTTTCATTGTGCAGTTCTTCTTGAAGATTAGGTTCGGGGTGTTTTGGTGCAAGCTACGGCCCTTTGGTCCATGGCCGCGAAGCCTCAGGTTGGCCAACGGACGCCTTGCCATGTTTGCCATCATTGGCATGTTCTTCCAGGCCCCTTCCCCGCTTTATCGAGAGTCGAGGGTCATGTCCTAAGCGTTCGGCAGTCAAGCGGCTCTCACGCACGTGCCTTCAGATGTTTGAAGGCGAGGTGTGCAACAGCACTCTAAGCATGTGTGCGATACCAAAGCTTCTTTTTCCAAGTTCTCCTGTCGTCTGGCCGCCCAGTCAGGTGCAACATCTGGTGGCAGTCAATCAAAATGATTTTCCACACCCGAAGATGTGCTGCAGCCTGCGATGCCGAAAACGCCCAAGCTCCGGAAGCGCATCGCACAGGCCCTGGGCCAAGGCAAAAACGCCGTGTAAACAACCATGAAGCCCGTTCTAGTCAACGACCGAGTTTCATGCCTTGCGCACTTGGAGGACGGCCTTACTGGCTCTGCCTGGGGCCGCACGGCAGGAAGAGTTCCCGGAGTGCAGGGTGTTTGGGTTCTTGGGGTGTGGACATCCGAGGCTTCAGGGACATCAACAGAGTGTGGAACGCGTTAACCGCAGTGCCGCAACGATGGTGGGGCTTTTGCGCAGCTTGAGGAGTGGCTCAAAGCGGAAAACGCCTTGCCAAGGAAAAACGCCCTGAAAGCATTCAAACTTGCCCAGGTGATTGGTCGCTGTACACTGCATCGCCTCTCCGAGCCTTCGAGGGCCTCTTGGACCGCTAAGCGTTGGACGAACAAGGATGCAGCCATTAGCCTCGTAGCTCGAAACACCTCCGGCACCTAAAGCTTAAAAGAACCTTGCAGCCAGCAATTCCTAAGCCCCGAGCTAGTTGCAGCGTTTGCAGCCAAAGCCACCCAGCACCCCTGGCAAAACCTACAAGAGCACATATACACATGCATGCAGTACGTCGCCCCAGCTCCCCCCTTGGTGCTACTTCCCGCTTTCACATGATGTCTTGAGTACTCCAGCCTCAACCCTGACAGATTTGGCTTGCAGGGTTTTGGGGTAGGGGGGTTCAGGTTGAGGTTTGGCTTTGGCGTACGGCGTACGGCGTACGGGGTCTTGGATCTTCGGGTTTCGGGTTCAGGCCAACACCCCCACAGTTCGCAAGGGGTCAAGTCCCTCTCGCTTCCGAGGTGAGCTTGGCGTCCAGGCGCCCGTGGGATTCTGGGCGCCGCGGTTGCAGTTGCTCCCTTTTGCGGGTCTTCATATTGGGGACCCTGTCATTCAAGGCCTATCTTCGGAGTCCCGATCTTCCGAAACCGCCGCCCCAGCCCCAAGGTCGGAGTACAGGGTCCCGAGAACCCAAGCAGTGAAAACCTCCAGCCTAAACCCCAAAGCAGAGATCCTGTGCCAACCGTCGTTTCATTCAGGGCCGTGAGACCACCCACCTACCCACGGGCATCCTGGTCCTAATGCCCAATGTCTTTGCACGCTGAGGGGTTGCGGTTTGTGTTTTGGGGCTATCCGGCTTCGGTTCCATTATAGCCGGGCATTTGTGATGTTTGGTTTGCCGCCAATCCCCTCCAACCCGAACACCCTGGCTACAACCCCAAACCCGATACCCCAAGACGGAAAGCCCAGACCCAAAGGCCTAAACCCCAAAGCCCCGAAGCCCTGAGCCCTAAAACCCTACGAGCCCTAAAGCCCTGAAGCCCGAACTCCTAGAGCCACTAGGATCCTCTGGGACTCTCGGCGGATGGCGACGCCGAGGTCTTCAAGCGACGTGCCTCGGCAGGGTCATCAGTGTTTTTTGGTAGAAGTAATACCGCTTACCATTATGGTTAGGGCTTCTCTGCTGGGTTTAGGGTTTAGGGTTCCGCATTTACTCCGAAATAGCCCTTGCCGATCCAAGTGATCATCCGCATAGTACCCGAGGAAGCAGTATTTGCTTTTTGAAAGAACTGCCCAGCCAGGATTTCAACAATGCAACCCCGCATCTCTCTGAGGCCGCGAGGTGGAGCTGAAGCACGGACGCACCGCGGCTTTCGACTTGCATGTTCGCCGGGACAAGACGTTTGACCTTCTGGAACCATGTTTGACCTTTTGGAACCAGTGCTGGCTTGCGTATAGACCGCTTGCTTCGACGCCAGTTGTAGCTCCTTTCGTTTTTTGCGATTGCAAGACAGAGAACGATAGAGCGATCGAGAGAGAGTGAGAGCGAGAGCGCGAGCCCAGCAGAAGAAAAGAGACGAAGATAGAAGGAGAGAGACTTGGTGCTTCAGGGCCTCTCCTTGTGTAGAGCACATCCGCTCGAAAGATTGAGGGCCTCGCCCTTCCAAGACTTTCAGGCAGGACTCTCGGTTTCCAGGGGGTGCAGGATCTCGGATTCAGATTCAGGACCCTGAAGTCCGCCAGATCCCAAACCTCCAGTGTTTCACATCCCAAACCTTAGGCCACGAATAAGGAAGCCTGAGTTGTCGCAAATCATAATTTCCTATGAAAATCAACACGACTCAAGGTATCTCCATGTTCGCCACCATCGGCAGCGCCCTCGGCAATCCAAACCCAACCATGGGTTTCTGCGGGTACGCCAGACCGAGGCTACATCGTGCCGGAGTACTTCCGCTGGCCTGGAGAAGCTTGTTAGAGCAGTTCTGGTTTCGTCACAGAGCAACGGGATTTAGGGGTTGGGTTTGATCCGCACTAACCCGGCAAAACCGACATCAGCCCGGCAGCTCGTCGGCAATGAGCAGAGCTCAGGAAGGGCTTGTGCCAGGATCTTGCGGTAGAGGAGCCTCAGGAGTCAGAATGAAGAGCCCTGAAGACACTGGCAGCGGGCAGCTGTAGCTTGTGCTTTTTCAAGCTTTCCTGTCTGGAAGGCTTAGGGTAAAAGCTCAGACGGCATAAATGATGTTTACCTTTTTTTATTATCAACACATGCCAAAATCCACCAGGCAACATGGATGCCACTCGCAAGCTCTGAACCCAAAGCCTTGGGTTGTTGGAAAGCTTATTTTCAACCTTAATCGGACTTCCTGTTGAAACCAGCACGGCGCCTCGGGACAAGACCCGTCACAGAGGGCACCGCGATAATCCCTGGCAAAGCAGGCCTAGCTTGCTTTTGAGGAACTACCCTTAAACCTGAAGCCCTGAAGCCCCTAAGCCCTAAGCACCCTCAAGCCCTCAACGCCCTACGTCATAAACGCCAAAAGCCCTAAACACCTACCGCCCTAATGTCGCGACACCCTATTCGCGCAGGAGTCATAGAGCCCCGGAGAACCGTTGTATAGAACCCTTATAAAAGCCCGATAGAACGACTCTACCGTGACATGAAGCCTTATTGCAAAGAAGCTCAGGAGCTCTCCCCGAAGCTCGGCCTGAAGTTCACGGACATCCCCAATGGCCTGGCTGCTTTGACGAAGGTGCCAGGCGCGCCCTGGGTGGCTCTTGGTGGCTGCCTTCGAACAAGGGCTTTAACAGGGTGCTACAAGGGGGTTGAGGTTCTCACGATTTTTGTTCGCGGGTTTTCTGGGGATTTGTGGAACTGCAGGATTTCTTGATTTCAGGGGTCCTTTATTAGGGATCTTACGGCTTAGGCTTTCCATTCTGGCTAGTCTTTTCTGAACCTGATGTCCACGCTGATGCGATAAGCTGAGAAAGATCAGGTTCTACCGGTGATGAATTTCGTACACGAATAATCGTGATAACAACAGTGACCATGAGCATGATCACTACTAACTATGACGATGAGACACTTTCGCCCCTCAAATGCTTCCACGGCTTCGGAAGTCCCTCGTCCAAAAAGCCCTAGATTGCTAAATCCCATTTTTGGGACTTTTGGGAAGCAAGACTCCTGGATTCCGGGGCTTAGAGACCCAGAAAAGGCTTGAGAGCCCGGAGGCTTTCCTCGTTCTTGATGGTTCTGAAGTCGCTGAAACAAGAGTTCAGAGCCTCTTCATTTGCCGGGGCGTCGGGAAGCAGGTGCTAGTCTCAGGTCGAGACTGAGCACCTCAAGGCCTCAAATCCCAGGTTTCTCTACAACTGCCCACGGCTGGTGCTTCTCTGTCACCTCATGCCCCAAGCCCGTAGGGGCCCTGGCCCGGACCTCAATCCTGTGAACAGGTCAGGGGTGGGGGCAGATTGTGGCCTTCCTGGGCACGTACGAGCTCTTCATCAACAAGCCGGCCCTTTCTCCAATTCAGGTCTGTTCACACAACTCTTCAGGGCTTTGATTCAGGCTTGTAGGGGTAACTGGAGCAGAGCCTGTTGGTTGTTGCAGCGGAAAGCCGTTGTACGTTTCTTGCATTGCTGATGCAGTACTTGATCTAGAGGTGATTTCTCTGTTAGGGTTTGGCTGCTCCAGGATGTAGGGTTTTGGGGCCGTCCGGCGCAGGGCACGCAGGTGGTTGGAGCTGCGGTATTTTATGATTTCGGCTTCGGGATTCACAGGTTTGGGCTCTCAAGGGTTGTTGGGTTCGGTGTTTGCTTAGGAATTGTGTTTTCATCCCCGAGATCAAAACCTTCTTGACCCCGAGGGCCAAGGGATTCTGCTCAGGTTGGCGATGAGCCCGGCAACTACGGCACCTGGGATCGAGTTTATGGTTCAGGGAGGGAGGGGCGTGATACGGGAGAGTGTTCGAAATTCAGTTTTCTTGTTTTCCTTCAATGTCCCTGTGTAACCGTATTGGCGTTTTCAGGCACCTCTATTGATTGGGGGTGCTTGTTCCAAACTAATTACGCCTTACAGGCCAAGAGAGACTCCAAAGGTAGGCTCGAAACGCCAACCCACGCAACCCATCTATTAAACCCTAAACGAAACTCTCCGCCACCTCCAACACAAGGCTCCCCCGCCCCCCGGCCCCAAAGAAATGCAGAGCCCAGGCAAGGGCAACCTGGGTCTGGGCTTCCTGCCCTCCGTGGCCGACCCCGAGGCCGAGCTCCGCCACGCGCTCGTCCAGGGGCCTAAAGCAGAGAGAGCCCCAACTCTTGGACCCCAGCCCAGACTCTTAACTCTTAACTCTAAACCTAAGCTCTAACTTTGCAGGCGCGCACTCGCAAGCTCTCCGCGGAGCTTGCAAACGGACGCCTTGCGATGATGGCCATCATCGGCACCTTGGCACAGAGTGCACACAGAGTATCGAGTCTACGGGTTTCAGAAGAATGTGTCACTGCAAGCCTTTCTGGATGGTGTAGAAAAATAAGCCCCAAAACTAGGCACACTTGACCCTAGACCACACTGAGACTCTCATAACCCTATTCTCCTAGCAAGACCCCAGAGCCCCATCATGATTGAAATAGGGTTTTGCGTTTCTTTTGCAGGAACCCTGAGGAGTAGTGTTACCAGTATGGGAGTAGTGTTACCAGTACCTCTGACCCAGGCATGCTCTTCCAGGATGGCCTGACCGGCTCTGCCTGGGGAGCCCTGGCTGGCAAAAAGAGCCGAATGGGGTGGGGGGGGGGGGGGGGGGNNGGGGGGGGGTATATGCTTATAATTATAGTGTAAGGAACAAACATGGGTTATTATGGAGGGTGGCGGTTCCCAGGGTCGGGGCTTCGAGGGCGTAGGAGGTTTAGGAAGTTTAGGGCTTAAGGTACATGTGTCTCGTGCGGCCGGCTTGTTGGTTGGTAGCTTAGCTTCAGGTTGGTAAAGCTCCAAAACTGTAAGGGGTCCTCCTTCCGGCTGCGTGTATTATAGCTTCTGTACTGAGAGAAGTTTGTTGTGCTTGGTTCTGCCTTTTTGCACAGATGTCGTTACCTGGTGATGGAAGGCCTGAACCCTGAAGGAGCCCGGCTATCTCTGAGTTGTTGTTTATCAAACAATCTGCCACGTCTTGGGAAAAGTTTACATGTGTTGGCATTGCGCCAGGTCTTCTTTCAACATGTCCGGAGTGTGCAATACTACGATAAGCGCCAGCAACAACACCCAAAATCTTAGCAATCCTAGATTAATCCATCTCCTGATCTTTCATCCACCTCCCGCCTGGTTGTGCCCTCTTCTGGTTATTTAAACCTAGGGAATGCGCTTCTACCTTTCTGCCTGTTGCAACAACCTGAACTAGGCGGTTCCAAAGTTGCATGTGGGCCATATGGGGTCTTGGAGACACTCAGCCGAGGTGACTGGGCCCTTTACACCGACTCGCCCCTGCGCGCCTTCGAGCAGGACTGGCCGTCATGCTTGTTCGAGAAGCAACAACGGTAGACTACGATAGCAAAGATCATCACGATCACCATCATGGTCGTGATGCCCAGCTATGCGAAACAGGTACGAAGAAGTTAAGGAGGGCCCAGATGGTTGAGACACCTCTACTGCTGTGGTCTTGGATCTGAAAGGGCTAAGGGGTTTGGGTTTGTCAAGGTCTGCGCCGAACCCATTGGTAATCCGAGGAGCCCAACAGGGTTTTATTATGGGTGCCTAAAGAGCTAAAGAAGGGGCTTTGTTCTACTGCAACTCAGGAGCGGGCACCGACAGCTCCAATATTGCCAACCTTGAACACTTCCCCCAAGTCCGATTTGAAGAAGCCCAAAACCAAGAGCCATCCCAGGAGCTGGGTGCTCAGCCACCTCTCGGATTTTGGGATCCCGTCGGATTCACCAAGGACTTCGACAGTCACCTGCAACTTAGTTACACGAGGTGAGCTTTTCGAGGTACTCGGTAAGCTCCTTTTGAGGCACGTTCCAGCACGATTGTAAGACTTTCCAGTGGAAGCTGCTGTGCACTTGCTCTTGTGCGTCTGCGGGCTGCAATGTCAGTTAGCATCTGATCCTTCTTTCAACACTTGGCTGTCATATTAAGTGTAAACGAGCATTATGATTAACCTCACATCCTCTGTGCCAGCATGAAAACTTCGCCCTCTTAGTCCAAGTTCGTTGCTCACCATCATTCTCATCCTCACCCTCACCTTCATCATCATCATCATCACCATCACCACCGCCATCATCACGACCACCATCATCATCATTCTCATCCTCACCCTCACCTTCATCACCATCACCATCACCATCACCATCACCATCACCATCACCATCACCATCACCCATCACCCATCA